ACTGTGCGCCGGCGTGCGATGCGTGGTGAGCTTGAGCTGCCGTTGATGCTGTAGCTAAATGTCCTGGATGATTTGCACTGCTGAGAGTTCACTGCGTGTCCGCACTGAGTCTATTCTTCGATGTGAAAATGAGAAAGTCCACAAAAGAGCACTTGATAACTATCCGCACTTCAAGACGCGTGTACTACGTACGGTCGCTATGAGACAAAGAGCGCCGGTAACGTACGTGAAGTCGCGCGGTCGCCTCGCGTCGCGATCGGGCATGCGCGGGCAGCGCTCATGCGGCGCTGCACGATCTGACCCGGCTGATGCTGCCATCACACCGGGGATGAAATAAACGAGATTCAAATTAATCTCGAACATGCTCCGTATCGCGTCATACATCCAAAACACCTACCGGCACCTTGGCTCACTACTGAAATCAGAGCCCTGATGAGAGGAAGAGACAGAGCACGCAGGAAGTGGAGAAGAGACAGGTCAGTCGCCAACCATGAGCACTATAAAACCTTACGAAACCAGGCTCAACACGAGGTACGCAAAGCTAGCGGGGGACGTCCGGAAGTAATGGCTCTGCCAATTCCCGGGCGTCCCCCAAGTTAAAGCACCGCGCAGACCACCGTGTGGTTTTAGTGAGGTAAGCCCAGCGGCCGCAACGCTAGCGGCCGCAGCCGATCGCCATTAGGCGGGCAGTCCCACATAACCCGGGCCACTTTGTAAACTCCCTTCCCAGAGGGGAGCCCGGGTATCCATAAAGGATTTCCACACGTTAAAAAAAACAAAAAAGGTACGCAAAGCTAAAATCGAATACTATCATAACATTCTTGAAGAGACCACAGACCCGAACAAACTGTGGAAGAAACTGAGACACATTGGCCTCCTTAAGCAGAAAGTCCTGGCCGGAAAAATTAGTCACTCCATAGAAGAACTCAATGAACAATTTACGGGAAGTGACAGTGTTCTTTGCGACAAAACGAATTTCGCATCACATCTAGGCGAGCTAAACTATGATGACAAAAAATTTTACTGGAAGAACATAGAACCGATTGACATCACAAGAACCACAAAAAGGATAAAATCAAATGCGGTGGGAAGAATGACTTCCCGTTGAATCTTATCACAAGGACTATACCCAGTGTACTGCCAGTCTTGACACACATCTTTAATTACAGCTTCATGCAGGGCGAATATCCCGAGATATGGAAATCTGCCATCATTTGTCCTGTACCGAAGGTAAAGTGCCCTGAGGCACCCAACGAATACAGGCCCATCTCCATTATATGTACCACCTCTAAAATAGTAGAGCGCATTGCTGCTGAGCAAATCACAGACTACATCACAGAGAACAACCTTCTCGACCGTCACCAATCTGCGTACCGAAGAGATCACTCGACTCAAACGGCACTAATAAGAGTCCTGGATGATGTCAGGCAGGCTGTGGACAAAAGAAAGGTAACAGTGGCGGTCTTTTTCGACTACATGAAAGCCTTCGACAATGTATGTCATATACGTCTAATACAAAAGTTGAGAGATCTGGGCTTTGCCCACACTATATTGACATGGATTTGCTCATACCTTACTGGCAGACGACAAGCTGTGCGCGAACCGATTACAAGGACATTATCAACAGATAAAACAGTAACCAGAGGAGTGCCCCAGGGCTCTGTTCTCGGACCACTACTCTTCTCGCTATACATAAATGACTTCGGCACGGTGCTACAGCACTGCAAGTACAACATATACGCAGATGATATGCTTATTTATGCTCACAGCGATCCACAACTTCTACATGACACGGTTCAAAAGATCAATGAAGATATTAACAGACTTGTTACGTGGGCAATTGAAAACTGTCTGACTTTAAACCCCAAGAAAACAAAGGCAATGGTCCTGGGAGCACGGCGTTACTTAAACAGTCTGAACAGTGGGGCATTGCCGCAAATTCATGTCCAGGGAACGGAAATAATTTACGTAGATTCAGTGGAATACTTAGGCATCCAAATAACGAACACACTCTCATGGGAGGGACAAGTGCAAAAAACGGTCTCAAAAGTGAATTCGGCTCTCTACCAATTAAAACTGTGTAAACATCTTCTGCCAATTACCATACGAATCCAACTTATACAGGCCCTCATACTTCCGTTATTTGACTACTGCTGTACCGTCCTCACTAATGCTACCGGCGAACAGAATCTCCGACTGCAGAGGGCCCTAAACAGGTGCGTGCGCTTCATTTATCGGGTTGGGTGGGATGAGCACATAGCTCCGTTCTTCCACAGGCTGGGGTGGCTGAAGATTGAAACTAGACGCCTGTACTTCGTGGGGAACCTAACATACTCGGTGCTACATAAGAGAGCGCCGCAGAACATCTATAAAAATTTCATTTTCAAACAAAACGGCAATGAAAGAGGCACCAGGATTCCCGAAAATACACTTCCGTTGTGTCGGACAGAATGCTTTAAGCGCTCGTTCAGTAGCTCTGCGGCCGAATCGTGGAACAAGTTTCCACTAGAGGTGCGCAATGCAGGTACTATAGGGGTTTACAAACGCAAACTACATACTTTTCTACTCCAGTCGGAGGAGTGAAATAGTATCGACCTCTCAAATAATCACTGTATAAAATAAAAAACAAAACACCACCGAACGACACAATGACAATAGGTGTTAAAGGACGAAGTCCTTTTCGTCTCTCATATCAACTCTTTACATTAATTCTACATTAATTATATCAACTCTAAATTACTTATAATAATTATGTAAAATCAATATCAATTATATAACCCTAAATTAATTATATCAATTCACTATATTAATCCTGCATTAATAATATAATCTTTATATCAATTCTTCTAATCTCACACATACCACGATACTCAAACTGATGTAACATAAAAGTACTTTCTCATTTGTAAGCATTCCAAATATGTAGCTAGCATAACGCTTTAGGGGACTTGTCCCAGAGCGTTTAATAAATAAAGACTTATTCATTTATTCCTCTCCCTCTCCCTCTCCCTCCTTCCCTCCCTTTTCTTATCTCTTCCCTTACCTTCTCCCTCCCCTCTCTTTCCTCTCCCGCCATTTTATCCACTTCCTCTACCTCCTTCCTGCTCGGAGATCTTCCCATTTTCGTGCTCTTCCTAAATACCTCCCCTTCCTCCTTTTCCCCCTCTTGCGTCTCCTTTCTTTTTCACCTCTCTTAAACATATCCGCGATCGGCAGGTTATTTGATCTCTCCCTTTTTAAAGTTTCCAC